AATAACATTGTTGTAACAACATGATAACAACAAATTCACGCAAACAACTATCCATGCCCAATATGAAACTGGGTGCTGTTTATGACGGCGTTGCAATTTCATGTATTGACGCCGTTCTGCTTATCATGGCGGCGGATCTGGCTAGAATTATATTAATTGCTCATTTTTGATTAATTAAATATGAATTGCAAAGTGACGTGATGATATTGGACTACTAAATGCCCTGTCGACTTCGCAACTCAGAAACGCACCAAGAGCGATAGATTTTAACAGATAATCCAATACTGACACCAAGAACGTGCTTTCTGATGGCGAGTTTAACAAAATTATTAGAGACTTCTCAAATAGGCCTATTTGACTGCTCCTGCAGTTGAGCACACTTAGTCTTAGGCTAGCATGCGCGCGCGTGTGTGGGTGTGTCAGTGTGTGGGTGTGTGTGTAGATGTGTGTGTGTGTGTGTGTGTTGTGTGTTGTGTGTGTGTGTGTGTGTGTGTGTGTGTGTGTGTGTGTGTGTGTGTGCTGTGTCAGTGTGTAGGTGTGTCAGTGTGGGGGTGTGTGTGTGTGTCAGTGTGTGGGTGTGTGTGTAGATGTGTGTGTGTGTGTGTGTGTGTGTGTGTGTGTGTGTGTGTGTGTGTGTGTGTGTAGATGTGTGTGTGTTGGTGGTGTGTGTGTGTGTGTGTGTGTGTGTGTCAGTGTGTGGGTGTGTGTGTAGATGTGTGTGTGTGTGTGTGTGTGTGTGTGTGTGTGTGCAGTGTGTGGGTGTGTGTGTAGATGTGTGTGTGTGCGTGTGTGTGTGTGTTGTGTGTGTGTGTGTGTGTGTGTGTGTGTGTGTGTGTGTGTGTGTGTGTGTGTGTGTGTGTGTGTGTATGTGTGTCAGTGTGTGGGTGTGTCAGTGTGTGGGTGTGTCAGTGTGTGGGTGTGTCAGTGTGTGGGTGTGTGTGTAGATGTGTGTGGGGTGTGTGTGTGTGTGTGTGTGTGTGTGGTGTGTGTGTGTGGTGTGTGTGTGTGTGTGTGTGTAGATGTGTGTGGTGTGTGTGGTGTGTTGTGTGTGTGTATGTGTTTGTATTTGTTTGTTAGTTCGGGTGTATGCGTGTGCGTATGGTTGTGCGCGTGTGCGTGTGCGGGTGCGCGCCGTGCGCGCGAGCGTGTGTGTGTATCGTCCCTCTGATCAAGGGACTGGCGATAGAGGCGTAGATAGCGGGGAGGATGGGGGATGCATCCCCCACTTATTGACGGGGGGGGGATGGCGTGTACAATCATCCCCCCCCCTACTTTCAGAGGAAAATGGGAGATTCAAAATTTTCTGGGGAGGACACCGCATAGCCTGTTTTCTTACCACCTCCTCGAAAACCTCGCATTGCACTGTCGAGCGTAAAAAAATTGAGCACCCCCCACTTCAAAAATCGTTCCGCGGCGCCTGTAGAGTACTGCTAACAAAGATTATGATTATGAATATTTGTATGCATATCAAAAGTCAAATTTGAGTTCATCAGACAGGGGCGGTAGATAGCTGGGGGGGGGTATATCCCCCCACACTTATTGAGGTGGGGTGGCTTCCATCCCCCCCTACTTTCAGAAGAAAATGGGAAAAAATTTAATATTTTACAGACAATAAATACTGGATATTTATCTACAAATCCGTCATCGCTATTCATACTCTCCTAATGTATTATTACAGAAATGGAACGTGACATACATCTCTGTAAAATGGCTGTAACTCGTTCCAAGAATTACATTATTTTACTGAAACTAGGACGGTTAATTTTGGACGGGTTCCCCATATACGATTTTTTTTTCAAAATCCCAGTCTTATCACTGCTCACGAAAGTTAAATCCTTGCTTTATTCAAAATTAGAATAGACCTATGAGAGTTGGGATATTGAATTTTCAACAGGGATTAAATGGGAAAATTCAATTTCATCTCACTTTTTTTGGGGGGATGGGGGTGCTGAGACCCGACCGGAAGCATATTCCCGATTTTGTATAAGGGGTGAAATATGCACTTTTTGGTTCAAATCTGGTTATTTTTCTCATATTTCTTTGCAGTTTTAACGTTCTCAGTAGAATATACGTTTTATCA